ATTCAGCCCATCTATAAGTGTTTTAAGAGTGCAATCCTATGCATGTTTAGAGAAAGAGAGAGAAAACTCTCAATAACCCACAGAAAGCATGACTAACTACAGCATGCTAAGAGTTGTAGGATTTTTTCCTGTCTAAACATGAATGGGATTGTACACAGTACATCTCACCAGTTCAGGAACTAATCTTACAAACCACTACCTGTATTATTTCATTTCATTTATTACATTTGTATGCCGTCCCATAGCCCATAGGGCTCCCTGGGCAGCTTACAATAGAAAAATAGAAAAAAGTACATATTCCATAGAATTACAACAATACATTAAAGCGGTACAAATAAGCAAATCAATATTTAACTCTAGACGATACAAAATCAAACAAACCTTAATACAACAATACACAATGCAATACATAATATCAATACATAACGCAACGTAATACATAATACAATGAATAATATCCATAATAATAAGCTATAACCTCAATCCCCCCCACACGCAACATCCCACCCAGGAGGAGTACCCAAGGCGGCGGGCTCCCTGCTCCTGGCCAGCTCCTTGGGAGGCATCTCTCCTCCCGCTCTCCTCCTCGATGGTGCCGCCGCCGCCGCCCATGCCGCCTCTCCCGCAAGGGCAACGCCACGCGAGGTCGAGCTATTGTAGATCGCGGGCAGAGCACGAGTGGCCCGCGCTGCTCTGGGGCCGGCGAGGAGCGGCGGCGGCGGCGGCGGAAGCGGCAGGCAGGCGGCGGGTGGCCCTTGGCGGCGTCTGTGCCCGGGGGCGAAGGCTTCCCGGGGGCGCAGACGGCGGCAGCAGCGCCCCTGGATTGTGCACAAGAAAAAAAAAAATTAGTATAATCCTATCGTAACCTTAAAAAGACTCTTTTAATATTGGTGTGAATTTTGGCTTATGTTTGCAATAATGTTTCCATAGCCTCATTCCTCAAAAGGTATCCTCCTCCTAATTGTAGTTGAACTAAAACTACGAGTATCTAAACAATTCCAATGGTAGAGCAAGTGACACTTAAACTTAGTCCGTAGTGCCATCTCGTGGAATTTCAGAATTACTTCAATACTGGGTTTAGAACACAGGCTTAAATATTAATTGAAAATAGTTGAGGCAGAAAAATGCAGATAATCCCACCAAAATGTTATGATCTATTAAATAATGCATCATCAGATATATTATTAGCATGGTACTGATTTCTTGCCTCATTTTCAAAAACCGGTTAACCATGGGCGTATGGTTAAGGTCAGCTTGCCAGGCAGGCAGTAAGGACAGCACCTGACCCTATGTCATGGGATTCCTCCCAAAGGATGTAAGGGATGTCTCTCAGCTGCACTATTTTAAAAAGTCCCATTTCAAACGGAATTTGTGTTTTATTGGTTACATTGCTGTATTGTGGCTTTGGAAATTGTTTATATATAGGTTGGATTATAGTTTAATGTATTTTTATTATAAACTTTTATACTAAAGTATTTTTCCTCATGTATTTTGTCTATCACCTAGGTCAGACTTGGTCTAGAATGACAGTTTATTAAAAAAATAAAATAGTTAAAACATTAAACATCAAGGAACTGTTCTTTCATTCCTATTTCCAAATCATCTTGGGAGTAGGAGGAAAACTAACCTATCTGGCAGTTTGCAGCCTGTGACAGATCTAGGCCTATAATGGGAAACAAGATGGGTCACTATGTTGCCACATTAAAGACAGCATCAACACACAAAGAAATAATTCTTCTCCCACCTTCCAATCCTATCCCTTTTCCTGCTAGCAAAGGAATGGTCAAGTTACATAGGGAGGCCACACTCCCAAAGCACTATAAAACTCAAATATTTGCAGCCTCTTTTCATAACCATAATGATTAGAAAATAACTGATTTAAAAAAGACAAAATGAAAAAAGCTCCAGGTCTGAAATTGTGTGCCAGTACCAGTCTGTTTTTTTCATTCATTCTTCATTCCATGCAGCCTTAATTACGCGTTTCCCGGATTCAGAAACCTTGCATAGAATATTGGTTTCTCTGAGCATTAATAATAGAGAATAGAAATAGATCTATAGATCTTGTGGACATCATTAAGGTATCTCCTTGGCACTGTGACACTGAGAACTGTTAGGAACTTTTGCAGTTCAATGTGTACCATTGCATGAGTCCTAATGACTGGAACTGCTGGAATTTCTTGCCTGAACTGGGGGAAGAATTCAAGGTTACCTGCATGGTAAAAACTCCATCACAGGACAAAAGTGTCCAAGACAACTCATGAGTAAAATCTCAGAGTTGTTGAGCATGACCGCAATCCTTTACGTTCTCTCCTAACCTGGGAGAAAGCACCATGAAATGTTGTTTGCTTACTTCTGTCTACATGGGTCGATCTTGTAGAACACACTGAGCTTTAACAAAAGTCCTTCGGGCAGCTGCAATGCAACCGTTAGCTTCCAAATAGAAGTGCTTTTCTCTTACCAAGAATTGTAGTTCAGTGGCTAGCTAGTTTCCACTTAAGTAGGAACCACAAAGGAAAGGACAGTAGTATCAGGCCTAGCCTTTCCTCAATCCAGTGCCCTTCATGTGTGTTGAGCCACAACTCCCATCATCCCTTAGCCAGTATGGCTTGTCTGGGGGATAATGGGAGCCACGGTCCAATCTTCTGTGGTCTGGAGAAAGGCTGGCCTAACCTCTCCTTCATTCTTTGAGTTCCTCTCTGGTAAAGGGCTACAAAGAATGGTAACATTTAAAAGTTCAGTTACCTTTCACTTGTCGGAGTCAGGAGCTCATCGGTTACGCTGCCACTGCAGCAGATCTCCTTGCTCCTGCTCTGAAGAGTTCCAGAGCTGTCTTCCCCCTTGGCTAGACCACTGCAGGCCGCCTCCAGCTTCACATTTTCAGCCATGCTCTGTTACATTTGTTCTTTGGGATGAAGACATCACTCAGCTCCTTGCCTTATTTAGTTCACAGGTCTCATTCAAAGCAACACAGCAATTTGATGGAAGCTTCTTTACTCTTTCTGCAAGGTAGCTTCATGGTAAGTTACTCTTTTTTCATAGTAGGTTCTTGCTTTTCCTATTATTTTTAATATGAACAGTAATACCCATATGGGAAAAGCATGTTCCACTTAATGTCCAAAAGGCCCCATCATTGTTAATAAAGGTTCCAGAATTCAGGTTTCCTTACTGCAAAATTGGGTTCATGCTGCCTTAAAATTGGCCAGAATGGCACCTATGAATGGGCTGTAGACATTTGCCCTTACCGACTCCAGAGGTTTTCTCAAGTGTCTTTGGTTCCAGGAAGAGCCAGGGGCCTCAGCCCATAAGCATCAAAACCTTTAACACTATCTCACTCTAGACAGCAAACAGGGAGCATTTTCCATCATTGTTCTCTTAAATCCAGGATGGGCAGACCATGCTTGCTGGAACTACTTTGACTGTTACAGAAGAGAACAGGGTGAATACACATGGGGCAGTAAAAGGGATTGCTTTGGAAGCTGAGAATCTAAAAAGTGGACAAAAACCATGCTTTAAAAGAGCATCTCACATGAAAGCTAAACACTGCAGTTATACAGTGGTACCTCGGCTCACCAACGCCTTGGTTCACGACCAAATTGGGTTGTGAACAAAAAATTCATGAAAATTTTGATGTGGGTCGCAAACTCCATATTGGGTGGCGATCAAGATCGCAGCCATTTCCACCCCCAAGTGGGGAGATGATCACAATCGCAGTTGCGTTCGTGCAGGGAAGACATGCGTGATCATGGGCGTGCTCCTGCAGGAAAGACAGGCACAATCCCGGGCATCTGCCCCCCCAACCAGCATGATAGCAGCCATCTCCCCTCCCTACCTCACCCCACCCCACCCTACCCCCAAGTGGGGAGATGGCCGAGATTGCGCCCATCTCTCCCTCCCCCAGCGTGCCCGCAATCATGCCTGTCTGCCCCCCCACCAAGCGCTGAAATGACAGGCATGTGCAGTCGTGCTGGGGGAGGGCGGGGAGATGGCCATGCTTGTGCTTGGGGTGGGGAGGGGGAGATGGCCACAATCTTTGTTGTTCTGTCACTTTACTTCACATTTTTCTGATTAAAAAAATGGTTACAGAATGGATTAACCTTATTTACATAAATTTCCTTATGGGGAAATTTAACTTAGCTCATGACCAATCTGGGTCACGACCAAAGTCCTGGAACAGATTAATTTTGTGAGCCAAGGTGCCACTGTATTCCATTAGTTAATCATCTTAACAGTTACAGCAAAAACATCAACCGCTGTCCTACCAGAGAGCCTTTTTGGCTAATGGGGCAGGATAAAAATCTAATTAATAAATAAATAAAAACTGAATTCAAAGAACAGATTTGATGGTATATGTTTTATTTTTACATAAAGAGCTCATAAAAAGTTATGTTCTTTTCCTAGTTCAAGGAATAGTCCAAAGAAAGTGTCCCAGGCCAGTATGCGTTCTCCTTTTCCATCATGTTTAGTCCAAGTCTATCCGCTTGCTTTGCTTTAGAGCAGAGTGAATTCTTTTTTGTCGGAGACGTTCACGATTCATTTTCTCCACCCTAAGGTCAAACAGAGAACAAGTATGTATTTGTAGGATTCTTTAAAAAAGCAACCTACCTGCCCAGGGTGATGGGGGGTCTCGGTCAGTTGCTACTTTCGGTCAACTAAATAGCTAGTTCATACCCCCAACTCAGCACTTGAAGTAAAAAGGTGTGCTAGCACAATTCTCCCAGATAAAAGCATGTACAACTGGCCCTCTACACAAGGCAGCCATTGCATGGCAAACAGCCACAAATATATACCAGATGTACATGATGTAAGATTAGCATTCAAAGAGGATAAAATGGAGAGAAGGCTTATATAAGCCGCTTTCAGTTTCTTGCAGGAAAGAGATATAAATATAAAAGAACAAAAAACAAATACAAGGTACATCTGTTCCAAGACTAAAGTAGGTGTGCCTTTCTCAGAGAATAGGTAACTCCTATGTTTTATGCAAATCCTCTATTTTTAAAAGGTAATATCTTCTCTAAATAAAAAACAAAAACAATAACCTACTTCAGGTATATATAAGCGAATCCAAGAAGTCTCTTGCACTGTAATGCTTACAAGGAACTCCTGTACTCACAGGGATCTTAATTCATTTCAGTGGAGTAAGCCAATCTGCACATAAGGGATGCGCTCAAAAATCAGCTACTTCTACAGAATAAACAGGGAAGGGCACAGCGGGTGGGTGAATGTGTGTTTAATGTGCAAATTGCATTAACTGTGGGGAAACTGTAGAGAAAAATAATAATTGTTAAATTACATTTCTAAACCTTCCATAGCTGAAACTTTCTGGGCGATTCACATCATTTAAGTCACCCATCCCAATTTCCACCAGGCCCTAGCCCTAACCCTAACCCTAACCCAACACTACTTAGCTTCCAAGATTAGGCAGGATCAGGCACTTCAGGCTATATGGAAGCTACTATTTATCACTAGATAATTAGTGAACCACAGTGGGCATGGAGGGATAATTATTATTTAAATTATTATATAAATTATTATTTATTTTTGGGGGGGAAATTTATCAGTGGCTCCAATAGGGGTTTCATGCCAAAGCAGATAGCATCTTCCAGAGAGGGGTTTTCCTTAGGGCCACAACAGGAAAGGGTTTCATCCCCTCTGCATTGCTCATAATCACTTCCCTGCCCCTAGCTGATGCAATCTGCATTAAAATAAACCCTGTGCCTCAAATGAAAAGACTCAAGTTATGGCCACCTAGCTTTATGGACATTCTGAGCTAAATAGATAATCAAGGGTACAACCCTAAATCTGGAAGTTTATGTGCATCCAGTGGCCAGAGCAGAGAGTCATGATGCTCTCCACTTCCTTTGTGCATCACTCCTTGCATTTATTTCAGCTGCTTCATCTGGAAGGCTGAAGGTGGCCAGGGAAGGAGGCTGGGATACCGATAAGAACTGGAGGTAGAGGAGGTAAGGAGGGAAGTCCCACACACCCACTTCTCCAAAGTGCATTTCGGCTCTCAGAGAGGAAGCCAGCATGTTTCTTTTCACTCCCAGTGTGAGGGAAAAGGAATGGGGACTTGGCTGTCAGAATCTGAGCAGCAAGACTGGTGGTCTTGGTACGGGGACTCCAAAGAAGACTGTGTCCCCTGATGATACCTTTGCCTAATCTCTGGTCAAGACAAGAACAATGTTTAGTTTAGAAAGTAGTGTGACATACAAACAGCTTGGAACACATTGCATCTGTGGTAGCCATCTGAAGGAATCCCTCATTTTAGCTGCCCACCAAATTAACCTCATCAGTAGCTTAAAGCATGGTGAGACTACATCAACCCGCATTAACTGCCTTTCTCTAATGGGAATTAGATCTCTCCTCTGTTAGGTGAGAACCTTCTGGTCCTTGCCTCAACTACCCAGGCATTGTTTTTGGGATGTCTGCTGGATAACTGGGGACAGGAAGCTCCTGTGCTCTACTAATGACAGCTCCAGGTGGCTCCACTTTAAGCAATTATCACGAGGTGACATGCTGGCATGCAGCAGCTGTGTGCTGTGACTGCAAAGAAATACGGTGGACTGTTATCCGAATAGTGGAAACTGATACCTTTTCCTGATCATGTCCATGGTCTCCTTGGATGGAACGTTAGGCTCTGCAGTGGCTTCTGCAATCATGACTCTGAGTTTTTGCAAGCAGTCTGCCAAATTCCTCATCTGATAGCGACTCACTTCAGAGGTGATTATCAGCTCTCCAGATTTACTGACCTTATTCTTGTGCTGGGAAAGAAAATATTTTTATTATAGTGTTTAATTACATTTGCATAAGTACATTACTACATACCGTGGAAATGTGGGTTTCCTTTAAAAAAAAATGAAAGTCAGGAAGAGTAGACATCATTGCTATGATGGATAACTTCTGAGCACCTTTCAAAGTGACTATCTTGCAGCGCAATCATGCGAATGTTTGTTTAGAGGCTAAATCCTACTGCTTGGTGGGACTTATTCACAGGACTACAGCTTTAATTAAATATTTCAGGCTCATTGAATGTCATACATGATTTTATTTGAGTAGAAATCTACTTTATTTGAGTAGAAATCAACTGAAGGCTGCCAGTCTGAGTCCTGTTTATTCCCACATCGCAGCCAGTCTACCCAGTAAGAAGAGGGTAACTCATTCACTGGGCTATTGAATGTAAGATCAGGTGCCACAATTTTGCAACTGTGGGAACTTTTCCAGAATGTGACAAGTTTCTAGCAGAAAACAAAGATTAGCAGATATCAAGCCCAAGAAGCAGTCAGTGGCTGGGATGCAGTGACTGGTGCTCTATACCCAAGCCCATAATCCCTCCCCTGTTCCATGCAGTCCATGAATCATGTACTGCAGTGTTTGAAAAAGTAAAGAAGGACCCAAATTTCACAACAGGGTAGGACAAACTTCTTACGAGAAGATGTTATGGAACCTGTAGCTGGAGCACAGTACTGCCCACAAGTACATATACATTTTTTCATTTATGCATTTGTATTTTGCTACACTGTTTCAAGTGGGCCCTTGTACACTCAAAGCACACTATCTGGTTAAGTACCCAGAATGACTTGCAAAGGGCCCAGAAACAGAAAGGTATAAAGTCAGAATTACCATCACTGCCATCTTCTGTCGCACATCTTCTGCAATCCAGTCTGCTGATTCCAAATGAAATCGGACTTCTGCCTTAGTATTCACTTCATGTGAAATGAAGACATGCATTATTACTCCCAAGGATACAGTCAGAGAAGAACTAGTCTTACAAAAGCTGAAGCGTTGAGCTTCCAATTCACTGAAATTGTGGCCCTCCACTGCTAGCTGACCTTTCTACCAGGCACCATACCTTTGACTCCAATTTTGCACTTTATTTTCAGGGCATTTCATTTTCAGAAAGAACTCCTATCATTCTAAGCGATAAAACAGATCTCTTGTTTTACTGGCACAATTTCCTGAATACCTGCGCTTCTGGCATAATCACCAAAAATAAATCTGAATTGTTTGTTGGACTCAGAGCACTCCTTCAAAAAAACACAAGTTTTCAAAAATACCTCTGTAAACATGGGCTTGGAATTAATTTTCTGACTGCTCAGTTGTAATTTGTACATACTGGCTTCTCCATTGCACCAAAATAATTAAAGTTAGTGTGTTCACAGATGGTTAATATTTTACTTACTAGGCTAATTTAAGCTTAAAAGTAACAATAGCCAGGAAAAGAAAAACAACAGTGACATCTTTTCAGATCTGGCTAAAGTCGTAAGAGATCATTATGGTGAAGGCAGGTTACTTAGGGTGCAGTCCTATGGCCTCCTGAAACTGCCTGGAGGGCCACAGAACAGTCAGTGTAATGATTTAAAGCATTATAATAAGTTTCAGAAGGACAAGGGGGACTAAAAGAGGGGGATGAGTGAGGTGATTGGTTGTTGACTGAGAGTGTGTGGGTGGAGTTTGGAAGTGTGAGGAGAGAGAGAACGCAGAAAGTTGTGTCCTGTCAGAAGTTAAGCAGTTACAATTAGTTGGAATCAGTCAGTGGTCTGCTGAATCTGAAAAGGCGGCCTTCTCTTTAAAATCCTAGATAAGTGCCGTGGAAGGCATGTAAGATTCATAAGGACAAAGGACTCCTTCATGGATCACTGCCTTGTCGTGGCGAAGGGGCTTGCGTAGCTCAATGAAGCTATGAGCTATGCCATGCAGGGTCACCCAAGATGGACAGGTCATAGCAGAGAGCTCTGACAAAACGTGATCCACTGGAGAAGGAAATGGCAACCCACTCCAGTATCTTTGCCATGGAAACCCCATGGACAGTACCAAAAGGCAAAAAGATATGACACTTGAAGATGAGCCCCTCAGGTCGGAAGGTGTCCAATATGCTACTGGGGAAAAACAGAGGGCTAGTTTTAGTAGCGCCAGAAAGAATGAAGTGACTGGGTCAAAGCCGAAAGGACACTCAGTTGCTGATGTATCTGGTGGTGAAAGGAGAGTCCGATGCTGCAAAGATCTATACTCCATAGGAACCTGGAATGTAAGATCCATGAATCAAGGCAAGCTGGACTTGGTCAAACAAGAGATGACAAGACTGAACATAGACATCTTAGGAATGAGTGAACTAAAATGGACAGGAATGGGTGAATTTAATTCAGATGACCATCAGGTATACTACTGCGGGCAAGAATCCCTCAGAAGAAATGGAGTAGTCTTCATAGTCAATAAAAGAGTAGGAAAAGCAGTACTGGGATACAATCTCCAAAATGACAGAATGATCTCAGTTCGAATCCAAAGCAAACCATTCAACATCACAATAGTCCAAGTCTATGCCCCAACCACTGGTGCTGAAGAGGCTGAAGTTGACCAGTTCTATGAAGGCCTACAACACCTTCTAGAATTAACACCAAAAATGATGTCTGTATCATCATGGGGGATTGGAATGCTAAAGTAGGAAGCCAAAAGATAACTGGAGTAACAGGCAAGTTTGGCCTTGGAGTACAAAATGAAGCAGGGCACGGGCTGGTAGAATTTTGTAAAGAGAATACGATGGTCATAGCAAACACTCTTTTCCAACAACCCAAGAGACAACTACATATGGACATCACCAGACGGTCAACACAGAAATCAGATTGACTATGTGTTCTGCAGCCAAAGATGGAGAAGCTCTATACAGTCAGTAAAAACTAGACCAGGAGCTGACTGTGGCTCAGATCATGAGCTTCTGGGTTGCAAAATTTAGGCTTAAGTTGAAGAAAGTAGGGAAAAGCACTAGGCCACTCAGATATGACCTAAATCATATCCCTGAT